TACCCTGTATGTGCGCTTATATATATATATATATATATATATATATATATGTATGTATATATAATTATATATAATATCAACTGACAACTTTGTTATGTTTAATAGCTCTTATAACCCTTCTTTGTTTACAATTATTAATTTAACAGAGCTAATTACTATTTTTATTTAATTATATATATATGTATATAATTACATATGATAATAAATTATCTATAAATTATTTATAATAATATTATATATTGTGCAACCGGCGCGCGAAAAGTCATCCTTTACGCACATAATGGGATTTTAGAAAGTGTTCCCTTTCCACGCACCGGTCACACAAAATATTGTAGCCAACATGTGCGGGTCATAAATCGGCCGATCGTCCGGATTGTCACACTCGGCTTAGCCTCGTGCGCTAAACTTCCGCACTCTCGGCCGATTTACGATCCCCCGCACTTGTTAGCTAATATACTATTCTATGTGTGCAGTAATGTGTGTGCATAATATATAAACAATAATGAATTGAAAGAAATATTAAGTATATAATAAATAACATAACATATTATAATTTAAAAAGTAGTAAGGAGAAAGAAATTGGGAAGAGAATATACATAATAATTAGCTATAACTAAAAGAAGAACAGAAAAGATTGATCATTAATTTTGAGAAATGTGTATTTCTATCTATTTGAGATTATTTTCTTCTTCGACAAAATTTAATAAGTGACATTTTAAATATTTTTATGTACCAATCTTCAAAATAATACTTAATTTTTGAAATAGAAAAAATAATAAAATTTATTTAAAAAAAGAAGTGTTAATTATAACCATTTAAAATAAAAAAAATTAATGTAAAAATAATTAGCATAAAATCTTATTATACACAAATAAAACACTTCAAGTTTATCTAAGAATTTTTCTTGTTTGATGCCTAACCAATCAACAAACATTTTATGCGCGATAACAAGACTATAATTATTTTTAAAAAACTATGTATTTTGAGTAACATATTGTTATGACATGTCGAGTAAACAAGAAAATCGGTACAACGACAGAGCAAGCCGGGAATCACCGCAAGGAACTTGAACTTTCTGAATGTAAAAGTAATTCGGAATTGCTTTCACATCAAACTTTATGTATGTGTTGGGCATATTGGTTGGCGGAAGAAAAGTTCAAAAATTGAAAAATAAATATTAGAGAATAAGAATGCAAAATGGATAGTTGTAAAGCAAAAGAGAAAAAGAAGAGCCAGAAAACAAAGAAAAAAAGAAAGAAAAGAAAAGGAAGAAAAAGAAAAAAACGAAGAAAAAAAAGGGAAGAGAGAGAGAGATAAATTCAAATTTGAAAAATTTCAACTAGTCCGGCGTTTAAATTAAAAAATTTTAAATTACATTTTTTTAAAAGTAAATATATATATGTATGACCTTGATATATATATATATATATATATATATATATATATAATATATATATGTATAGTGTTCCAAAAGTTCCGAGACCCCTTAATATTTCGAAAACTAAGCATGGTAGAAAAAATGTTTCGAATGAAACTTGTAGGGCTCAAAATAAGACATTTATTGGTAACTTCGACTTTGACCTAAGGGTCAAATTTAGAGGTTATTTTAAGGTCAACTTAATTTTTTAAATAGAACTCTATTTTTTATTACATATTCTTGTAGCTTATCTCGGGAGCTTTCTAAAGCTACTATAATAAAAATTATTTTTTATGGAGTACTCTTTGAGTTATAAAGGTTTGAAAATAACAATTTTTGCCATAAAATGTAAAATATCTTGTTAAATATTCCATTTTCGGTGATCATACCTTAATACTTTTGTGAACAGAAAAATGAGACCAATAAATTGGTGTAAAGAAAAACACATAGTTGCTTATAATTGTTTAAAAAAATGTAATATTTAATATGTCTCATTATTCCAATTATTGCAAAAAAAGTATTAAGGTTATATAATTACCGAAAATGGAATACTGTACAAGATATTTTACATTTTATGTCAAAAAATTGTTAGCTTCAAATCTTTATAACTCAAAGAGTACTCCATGAAAAATAATTTTATTATTGTGAAAAGCTCTCGAGATAAGCTACACGAATATGTAATAAAAAATAGAGGGTTCCATTTAAAAAAATTAAGTTGACCTTGAAATGACTTCTAAATTTGACCCCTAGGTCAAAGTCAAGGTCATCAATAAATGCCTTATTTTGAGCCCTACAAGTTTCATTCAAAACATTTTTTTATCATGCTTAGTTTTCGAAATATTCAGGAACCCCGGAACTTTTGGAACACCCTGTATAATAAATATTATAAAAATATACTCAATAATTAAACAATATTTAAAGGAAGTGGAAAAAAATTTCAACTATATCTAATATTAACGTAATCTGCAGGTTATATAATTATATGAAGTGGTTATATAATTATAACAGTGGTTATGACAGTGGTTATATAATTATACAGGATGTCTCATTTTAATGTCCCACCCCAAATAAGTTTTTTATTTTTGATTGTAGGAAAAAATGTTTCAGACAAAAATTGTATGGTTTCGAGGAGGACATAAGGTGGTGCCATTAGTTTGACCTTGAATAGTTGCTTGAAGGTCACGTAAAGGTCACCTTGAGGTAAAGAGATCTTGTCTTATAACTCAAAAAGTACTTGAGATAAAAATGTTTCATTATAGTATTTTGGAAAACTCTCCATGTCAGCTACAAGAATATGTAATAAAAAGTAGTTCCATTTAAGAAATTAAAGGTGACCTTTACATGACCCTCAAGCAACTATTCAAGGTCAAACTAATAGCACCACCTTATGTCCTCCTCAAAATCATACAATTTTTGTCTGAAACATTTTTTTCTACAATCAAAAATAAAACACTTAATTGGGGTGGGACATTAAAATAGGACACCCTGTATTTATACTCAATTTACACTTTCATTCAAATTAGGAAACTACACAAAAATACACACAGCGTTAAATAATAGGGGAAAGTATTAAATCGTATTGTTTGATAAATCGTACCTTTATTGTATTTTTTAGACAGAATTAAAATATTTTAAGATGATAATGCTGTTGTATCGCAGCTTCATTCAAATGTTGCAATATTTGTTTTTTTCTTAAGTGGTCCGTTGACGCGAGTTCATATTTTATGTGATTTTCATGTATATTCCTCGTGTCTATATATATATATATATATATATATATATATATAGATAAACAATTAAACTTATTATATATATATATATATATATATAATAATAAGTTTAATTGTTTATCTTTCTCAATATAATAGCTTAGACACGAGGAATATACATGAAAATCACATAAAATATGAACTCGCGTCAACGGACCACTTAAGAAAAAACAAATATTGCAACATTCGAATGAGGCTGCGATACAACAGCATTATCATCTTAAAATATTTTAATTCTGTCTAAAAAATACAATAAAGGTGCGATTTATCAAACAATACGATTTAATACTTTCCCCTATTATTTAACGCTGTGTGTATTTTTGTGTAGTTTCCTAATTTGAATGAAAGTGTAAATTGAGTATAAATACAGGGTGTCCCATTTTAATGTCCCACCCCAAATAAGTGTTTTATATATATATATATATATATATATATATATATATAAAAGCATTTTTTATTTTATTTAATCCTGTCTATGGAAGGGTTGAAAAAATTGGCAAATATTTTAAAATTATTTTTTTTATTCACAAACTTAATAAAGCAATGAAAGTTCGGTAAAGCGTACCACTAACTTTTCCTTATATTGTATGATTTACTGATACAATTTACTAAATTTATTTTTTATTTAAACATTAGTTTGTTTTCTTTATATTTAGATGGACAACTAAAGAAAATATTATCAAATTTTATAATTATATTAAGATAATACTTATTTATATTTTTGTGTACAAAAAGTATTTTTTAAAGAGAATTTATTATTATAAATATGACATTCTTATAGACATATTTTGTTGCAGATTGAGACCTGTAAAAATAAAATTTTTTGTTGTTACAATTTTTTAATTTTATTGTTAGCGGTACGATTTAAAAACTCGTGAATACAAATCCTGTGTTACAAATTTTATCAAATACTTCTTTTTAATTTTTAATTTACAATATAAAACAATGATTTTGTGTTAATATTTATTAGCGTATATCGGTGGTTTTTAACATTAGTGTTCCGCAAACTTGTTATAAGTGTTCCGCGAAATTATGAAAGCACATAGCGTACCTACCTAGAAAAACTACTATAATTTATTTAATTTTATGAATATTATTTTTTGTAATTAAAATTTAAATTTTTTACTATATTTTATATAATCTGTACTGTATAATTTTTAATAAAAAATATGTTCATGTATATTTTTATTAGTTTTATAATCTTATAACGATCATATAATTTTGATGATTTGGTGGATTTTTGTCCAAATTTGTGTTATATTAAACGTATTCCGTAACTTCAAAAAGGTTAAGAATCACTGGCATATATAGTTGAGAAAGAACCATACTTTCCAAATACATAAAAAATGTATCATTTCTTTTATAGTTTTATAGCAATTTTAATATATACCTTGAAGGGTACGATTTAGTACACACTTTTATTATTTTGCATCGATAAATATTCCCCAAAATGTGAAGACTAAAAAAAGAATTTGCGTAACTTTAAACTAGCAATTCGTCATTGCAAGGAGTTTAGTGATGCGGTGACGATGCGAAGGAAAGGAAAGAGAGAGAGAGAGAGAGAGAGAGAGAGAGAGAGAGAGAGAGAGAGAGAGAGAGGAGAGAGAGAGGAGAGGGAGGGAGGGAGGGCTTGAGAGAGCTTTCTCTCTCTCTCTCTCTCTCTCTCTCTCTCTCTCTCTCTCGAGCTCTCTCTCTTCTCTCTCTCTCTCTCTCTCTCTCTCTCTCTAGAGAGATCTCGAGAGAGAGAGAGAGATGAGAGAGGAGAGAAGGATCGAGAAAGCATGAGTAGAGCCAGCCGGCCGGCAAGGAGGAACGATGTTGCGGACTATCGACCCGGTCTTCGCTTCAGTTCGACGCCTGCGCCTGCTTCGGATATCCCTCCCACCGCCTCCGCAGGCCGTCTTGCCGGCGATGCGGCGCTCTACGCAACGTCGGTGCGGCGACAGTGGGACCAGCAGTGCCTCTCACGGTTTCGTTCTCGCTCTGCCCTCCGTCTCATCGTAACGACTATTCGTACGTGTCCGGAGTGTCACCTGAGTGCTGATAGGCACACACATACATACACACACACGCAGACACATACATAGACATACTTCAATATTTGAACATCATTGTGCATTAAGTTCATTTCTGCCTTAATTCGTCTCGGTGTCCTTCTCTTTAGCTATATATTCTTCTTCGTATCTCTTTCTCTCTTGTCGTACACGCTCGCACGGATGTATTACGTGAATCACTATCGCTCTATGTGTCACATTTACTCACATAGACCGACAACGTAGATATATGATTGGACTGGCGATTATTTCACCCTTTTGCGAGTGTCACTTTTATTATCTATATCATGTACGCAACAGGAAAATTTAATTAGTGTTAACCGATGCGACCGGCCATCGTACTTGATGCCGGTGTGTCCTTTCTTCCAAGGTTCCTTTCCAAAGATATTCATGCAGATGCATGCACATATACATATATATGTGTGAAGATGATCGCGAGCCAGTCAGTTGACAAGGTGTCGAAGATACTCTGACACAGCCGAGACAATGAAATAAATGAAGAGAGAGAAAGAGAATAAGTGATAGAAAAAGAGAGAGAAAATTTATAAAAAAAAGAAAGAAGTTACATATATATATATATATATATATATATATATATATATATATATATATATATATATAATATATGTATATGCGTGACAAACAGAAAATTTATCAGACTGAAGATGAGGAAGTGATAAAGCGGAAAAATGATTGACTTCATTAGTTTTTAATCTATCTTATTTTTGTCCAGTCATCTTTTCTCATCATCCAGTAATCATCTAAAAATCTTGATGTTTTGTTTTACCGTCACGCACTATCCGTTTTTCCACTAATCTGTTAAATGTTATTAAAATATGTATTTTGTTGGATCTTTTAGAAATTGTATCTGATGAGTAATGTATAATATGTATAATTAGTTCAATAAATTTTATTTTATTAGTTTTATTACGTCTTTTTGTTAACTCAATTTGAAATGTTTTCATTTGTGACTTGTTATATAAGCGCTTACTGATCAATTCTTCGATTGAAGTTTTCTCAGGAATATTTCACGATAATTTGTTCTGATTGCCTTCTTATTTTTTTAATCCAATCTATTTTTAGTTCGTTTTACACGTGCAATTATTTCTATGATCCTGCAATTATTTTACAAGGAGATTATTTTTGTTTATCATCTTATCTTTTTAATCATCTCCTTCCATTACTGCTGCTCTTAATACCAATCATTTTATGATGCCGAATGCTGCTCGATTATAATCCTAAATCGTGAATGGAATCTATTTTGCGATTTTTTTCTGATAAAACTGTTGTATGCGTGGATGCTGGCATTGCATCTTATTACGTACATACACACTCGCGCATGTGCACGCGCACATCGGTGATATAACTTTCTCACATAGGCGATATCTGCCTATCTCTCGTTGAACAAATAAATAAACCAAGATATCCGAATTTTCTTAAATTTTTAGATGAAAGAAAATAAGGATATACAGTTACTGATTTACGCAGAAAATATTTTGCTCAACAGTATTATTTGCGAAGCTTTAAGATCAATACAGTTTTTCTTTTGTACATGGCAACAAAATATTTTCTCCTTTCAAAATTTTGTAAGTGTTTGAGTAAACTTTTTTTATTTATTTTGTATAAATCAATTTTTCTATATTACATATATATTTTTAAATTATACAAATATGTTTAACATGCTTCTAAATGAGGATATTATTTAAACGATATATAAATCACGATGTATATGTATGAGAATATGTATCTGCATTTGTATATTACATTCTGGTCAACCTGAAAATTTGTTTCAAGTTAGAATTAATTACTACAAAATTATGTAAAGTTATTAGAAAAAATAGAAATTAATTTGATAATTAAAATTGTATTAGTTTATGTGAAAAAACTGAATTAATTTATACATCCATTTTAATGAGTTTTCTGAAATAAGAAAACGTATAATAATTTGAAAAAATTAAATGCGGGTGGATTAAATAGAATTAAGAACAACGTAATAATAATATATAAAAAGTTTAATAAAAGATATTTAAAAAAATGATAAAAAGGTTCTATTATGTAATAGATGATTTTATTTTCGAGCTCATCATAGTGCAATTCAATAAATTGCAAAGTGGAACACATATGGAGTTTATTAAAATAAAAATTTCAAATTAAGATTTATTTTAATGACTGGAGTATCGCGCGCGCGGATAAAAAAATTGTGCTCTGTGCACACCTAATCAGTTTTAAAAAAATTTATTAATTTTCCTTGCACTATCATTCATGTCTGATTCTTTTGAAATTAAAAATTCTAAATATATTATCTTTGACATATCTTCATAAAAACATCTAGTGGCATCAAAGCTGAAAATCTGTCATAAAAAGTTTTCCTACTTCCAACGATAGGGAAATTGAGTATTTAACAGTTCACGCACTCGATGCGCATCATAAGTTGGAGCATCCCATCTCACGCTAATATCAATTCACAATCGTTGCGATATAATCATATTGACATTATTATGAAGAGATTCATAAAAAAAAATGACAGTTATGAAGTTAGTATAATTATCTGATTGTTATTTGGGAATAAAATTAAAAGCTCAAATTGAGTACCACAAAATCTGTCAAGTTTATTAGCATAATACCAAAATTATATAATATAAATTAATTATATAATATAAATTAATAATCAAATTTTGCCTATACATTTTTAAAATGTAACCTTGATTAGTTAATTTTTAATTTTTATAGTTTTATAATGCTAATCAAATTAAATGGTTTCTTGAACATTAAAAAATTTTTTTAATTCTATCTATTTTTTCCACATAACAACTAAATAATTTCAACAATCTAATGATCATCTTGTATAATAAGTTTTGAAAAGTTTAGGACGTATTCTGATTAATAACAGGTACTTTGAATTTGCTGCTTTATTTCTTAAAATATCTCGTCAGTTAGATCTGCAGTATTTTTTTTAGAGTGAAATGTTTTCAAAAATTTTTGACTGTTTCTAGAATTAAAGGTTTTTATAATATTATATAGTGGATATTTTTGAATATTTCTCTTCTGTCTCAATATTTTTCTTGGTAAAATTTGTTGTTATAGTGTATAATTATTATTATATTATCTGAGTATTATACATATATATATATATATATATATATATATATATATATAAAATATCTAATTTTTCGTTAAAAATAATTTGCGATTTTGTTTAATCTGCTATTCGTTGATATATGAAATAAGAAGAGATCAATCGTGAAAGCAAAATGCTTATTATTTTTCTTTAGCTGAAGAAAGTTTTTAAATTTTTATAATTTTGTACATTTATTGTATTTTCCAATTATTTTAAAAGATTAGTTATAAAATAAGTCGTCCGTTGTACATATGTGTGTGCATATGTACTCGTATATGTGTGAGAATTAATAATTATTTTATATCTCAAATATCTTAAAAATAACGTATTTTTGTGATTTTAACGTATTTTTTATGTTTCTTCACTGAAGTTTGATTTTATTTGATTTAACAAATGTAAAATAATTAATTTGATATTAAGTGACTGTCAAGGTTACATCAAAGTATTCTTGTACTTTGTAAATATAGAAACTCTCATTTTTATTGTATATTCTTATAATGAAAGCTAATATCAAGGTGTCTTTAAAATCATATAATTAAATTTTTTTTAAAAGTAATTTAAATTAATAAAATTCATAAAATTTAAATCAGGAGCCGTGAAAGTTAGCATCGGTTTAGCATTATTCAAGGTATAAGTGGAGATTGCACATTTGGATTTACATATCTTTGTGTATATTTGAGAAAGCATAATTAAACCGAGTTAGCAAACTCTTATCGCGACCAAAATGCTGATGAATCGATGATGATCTTAATAATATTAAAAGAATTAAGTAGTAAACCAGACAGCATCATGTCTTTAGCGCATAAGACATCTTTAAGATGTCTTTTGGATATCATATCATAAGATTTTATAAAGATGTCTTAATGATTTCTTAAAGATGTCTTATGCGCCAATTTTGAACATGGTGCTGTCTGGGAACGAACGAAGTTCTAATCTTGTAACACATACACACATATATGATCTTTACAATATAATTTGTATATACATACACACGTACATACATGATATACTTGTACATACAGAGGGAGCAATTCGGAGCCCGAGCCTGAGCCCGAGCGCCGCTTACGAACACTGCCTTGAAGGCTGAAAGAAGATAAAGGTGGTGCTGGTGAAGTGGTGAGAAGTGGATGAGGAGAAGAGGAGCTGCGTATAGTAGTGTGTATTCTGTGTAATCGACATCGAAGAGTCGCATATTGTCCTTCTTGGTAGAACGTCCCTAATCTGTTAACGACACGGCGCGCGTGTTCGCCGCCGAGAAACAGCCCAACTTTGTGCATCGCTTGCTAACGTAGCAGCTGTGTGTTACTGTCCCACTGCCCCACACACCGCGGCCTCATGATTGGTTCATTCTGGAACCTCTGCCGTGCGTGCCCTTCAATGCCGATTGATAAGGTGAGAGAGCCGGAGAATTGTAATAATATAATTCATATGTAGGACGTTGCAACTGTCTCATTTCTTTTTTGAATTAGAGTATACAGGATAGGCTAATTGAATATTCCATCCTAAATATTTTTTTATGCTTTTACAAAAAATGTTTCGTCAAATGAAAGTTATTATTTGATTTTAAGGGCTGCGTTCCAAAATTTATTCCTTGAAGTAGAGTAGCCTTTGGTTGACTAAGCAGAACAAAAAAATTCGAGTTTCTTTCGATCTAATTGGTCAATCAAAGGCTATTCTACTCCAAGAAGTAAATTTTGGAACGCAGGCAATAGGGACATAAAACAGCAATATGTTTTTTTTTTAAATGGAAACTAATTCTTTTAAACAAAAATTATAGATTTTATTATACACTGTTTAACAAAAAAAACCGGCACGAAATTTTAAGGGACATGCAATTAATGTTGCAAAAAAGGGCTATTTTGCGAACTTTGTCATGCATATTATAACTACAATATACGACGTGCTAAGGAAGTTTTCTAAATAAAGTATACTATTAGGATTTTCAACCCTTAATAGGAATTTTGGTGTCGGTTATGGTTCATAAAATATCCATAGTTGAATATGAGGTATTGCAGAAATAAACGTGTTTTTTTAATTTTTTAAAAATGTTATATTTGTGAATTCTCGATATAAAAAATATGTTAAAAACTGTTTCTTTTTTACAAGAAATTTTTTATTAGTTTACTGTTACATTTAAATTAAAAAAAAATCTTAAAATTAAAAAAAGCGATTTTCACAAGATTCTTATAGAAATGACGTCTTCAAAAAATTTTCAAATATTACTTTCAAAAAATGATAATTTATGCAATTTATTCAAAATTTTCTAATTGATGCAATAACATATTTTAAAATTTAGAAATCATATTTTATGCTATTTTTTACTTAAAATGTATATAAATCTTAGTCTTTAAATTTAGTTATAAATATTTATTTATATGCATATACGTCTATTTTAATGCTTATCTTATAAACTTTTTATCTTATATTTATTATAACATATTTCAATCAATTTTAATATAAATTTTTATATTATAATCAATATCCCGATTTTTATTTAATTAAGTCAATCTAATGCTATTAACATTGAGCTTTTGTATTACATAAAAAATATTAAATTATTATGTACTTAAAAAATAAATTTAAACGTGAAAAATTAAAGTAAGATATAATTATATTTTTATAGAATTGAACTTATTATCAAGAATATAGGGAGGGAGATTTCTCCCGTCTTTTTCCGATCTACACATTTACTTTTACAATGACTATATCAGTACAATTAAATATTAATTATATTCTTTTAAATATAATGTTATATGAAATACTTATCGTTCAATTCAGAAACTAAAATATGTGTTTAAATATCTATCTAAGTGTGTACGTGTTTCAGTGCATGTGTGTGTATGTGTGTATATGTGTATACAACATTTAGTTCAATGTAACTAAATAAATAATAAAATAATTTAATTTAAATAATTTCATTAATAATTTAAATTATTTAATTTATAAAATTTAAAATTTTGTATTTATATAAAAGTTAGAGTCTATATACACTAGTTAAAACAATTAGAGAAGCGCTTAAATTTTCTCCAAAAATAGACAAAATTCAATTAGCTGTAACTTCGTTAAAAATGAACGAAATTCGAAGGAAGATATCCAAAAAGTACGATTTTTTGACCTCGAGTGTAAAGTAAAATTTGCGTTGTTTTAGGTCTCTTACATCTAGAATAATGTAAAAACCATAGTGGTTTTTCTTGGAAATGCAGAAATCATTTAAATATATCATGTTTTAGGTCTCATACATCTAGAATAATGTAAAAACCATAGTGGGTTTTCCTGGAAATACAGAAAACATTTAAATATCATCATATATTTAGAGAAAATTACGTAAATCAATATCTCACAATAAATCAAAATTTCTTGATGTTTTAGTTAAATATTTTGGTAAATATTTTCGTAATACTAAGTTTCTAAGATTATTTAGAATGGTTTGAATGTCAGTCAATCATAATTTGAATAGTATATATACAGGGTGTCTCTAAAGTCCGACTATTTATCTTGGAAAAGATTTGAGATACGAAAAAATGTTTCAAACAAAAGTTGTAGGGTTTCGAGGGGGACATAAGACCGTGCCATTGATTTGACCTTGAATAGTCCTTTGAAGGTCACGTGAAGGTCACCTTCAATTTCTTAAATAGGACTACTTATTTTTCATTACATATTCTTGTAGACTATCTCAAGAGCTTTGCTCTAACTCTATAATAAAATATTTTTCATGGAGTACTTTCTGAGTTCTAAAGGTTTGAAATTAACAATTTTTTGATATAAAATGTAAAATATCTTGTAAAATACTCAGTTTCCGATAATCATACCTTAATACCGTTTTACACGGAATAATGAGACCAATCAATTGGTGTAAGAAAAATCATAACTGCTTACAAAAAAGAATATGTAGTTGCATGTTGGATATTACATATTTTTTTAAAACAATTATCTGTTTTTTTATTCCAATTGATTATTCTGTGCAAAAAAGTACCGAAAACTGAATAGTTTACATTTTATGTCAAAAACTTGTTAACTTCAAACCTTTATAACTTAAAAAGAACTCCATGAAAACATATTTTAGTATAGAGTTTTATAAAGCCTTTGAAATAACTTACAAAAATATGCAATGAAAAATATAGGTAGTTATATTGAAGAAATTGAAGGTGACTTTTACGTGACCTTTAAATGACTGTTCAAGGTCAAATGAATGGCACGATCTTATGTTCCCCTTGAAACCCTACAACTTTTGTTTGAAACCTTTTTTTCTATAAAATAAAAAGCCCGGGTCGCACTTTAGAGACACCCTGTATTGTATATATTATTCAATTTATAATTGACTGACATTAAAATCGTTTTAAATAATTTTAGAAACTTGGTATTACTAAAATATTTACCAAAATATTTGACTAAACATCAAGAAATTTCGATTTATGAGATATTAATTTACGTAATTTTTTCTATACATATGATGATATTTAAATGTTCCCTGCATTTCCAGGAAAAACCACTATGTTACGTTATTCTAGATGTATGAGACCTAAAACAACTCAAATTTTACTTTACGCTCGAAGTCAAAAAATCGCACTTTTTGGACATTCTCTTTTAAAAAAAGGGTTTTTATAGCTTGAAATGCCTACTTTAAAGGTAGGTATTTCATTTAGTAATTTTCAAAAGTAGGTATTTCAATACTTTTTTAAAATTTCTGTTTGGTTAGTTTTTCATGTAGAAGACTATGAACTGGACAAAATTAGAAATTTTCTTCTCACTTTACTGACCTGCGGCGTGTGTAAAAACATTTACGAAATTTTTCAATTCTCTGGTGTAAAAGTTTGAAGTTTTCTTAACAAAATCGTTTTTTAAAATTCTTTCTACGAGATTTTATTATTGAGTTATCGCCGATTGAATGAAAAATGAGCATGTTGACTGTAAGTTCATAACTCTATTAAAAATCATCGTACTGCAATTTTAAAAACGATTATTAAAGCTGAAATTTTGCTCTATCGAACAAAATAATTGCTAAAAGTTTTACAGAAACATATAGACTGGTGGTTTCAAATAAATAAAAATAACGTAAAAATTTACCGACTTTTTCTTTCTTTATTTTGACATAAAAATCATTGTATAGTACAACAACAAAAATTTGTTTTTTACATAATTTTTCTATTTTTGAATACCCTGAATTTGACAAAGAATCGGCGAATGGTTGTAATATTTATTTTACTATGTTTTTATGGAGTGAGTTGTTAAATTGCTTAATTTTAATAAAAAATGGAAAATAAAGTTAATTAATATTAAAAAAATTGATTTCCAGTACACTGACACTACGTGATCAGTACCTGCAGTAGTTACTAAGTGTAAGTGTACAACTGACAGAGTCGAAACAATTAGGGGAGTGCTTTAAAACGCAAAATTTGATAATTTTTAAAAAACCATATTGTAATTTTCTATATATAAAAAATAGCAAAATTGAAAAAAGTAAATAATTTTTTGAAAATAGAGAGTTGATCTTTCGAAAGTAGAGTTTAAGCTTTAAAACTTTTTTTAAATTTAAATTCTTATTTTCTAAAGCAAAGTTATAGCTTATAACTAAGAACTATAAGAGTCGCTGTATGAGCTACGAAATATATTTTGCTTAGACATTGCTAAAACATTGGGGAACAATCTCATATTTGAGATATGAATTTCTCGGTACCCTTTACCTCCCTAAAGTGATGTAGACGAGAAAAATATATTGGTCCGAAAAAGTCGGCTGAATCGGGAATCGAACCCGAGACTTTTCGCTTGCCGGGCGACTGCTTTTCTAACTGAGATATTCAGACACCTTAACGAACCGATATACTTCTTTCGTCTATATGTATACTATTGAAACACACGTATTCTTACAGAAAGCGAAATAATAACATTAAAATATCGTTAAAAGCTGGCTCGCCAAATGAAATCATAACTAAAAACTATAAGAGTCGCTGTAGGAGCCACGAAATATATTTTGCTTAGACATTGCTAAGACATTGAGGAAGAGCAGTCGCCCGGCAAGCGAAAGGTCTCGGGTTCGATTTCCGATTCAACCGACTTTTTCGGACCGATATATTTTTCTCGTCTACATCACATTAGGGGGGTAAAGAGTACCAAAGAATTCATATCTCAAATATGAGATTGTTCCTCAATGTCTTAGCAATATTTAAACAAAATATATTTTGTGGCTCGTACAGCGACTCTTATAGTTATAATTTCATTTAGCGAGCCGGCCTTTAACAATATTTTAATGTTACAGTTATAGCTGTTTAAAATTTGCCTACATTTCAGTCAATTTTTTATTGTTTAATTGTTTTGAGAAATATAATTAAGCCATATTTCCTAAAATTGTATTTAGAAAAGTTTCTAAAATGAATACATTTCACTTTGTTAATTTA